GTTTCTTTTCCTTCATCTATGGTAATGCCTCCATGCCATTTCTCAACTACCTAAGGGCTCCCACTCTCCCCATATTTGTCCTCTCTCCATATTGCACATAGTTCCCATTAATGAGTATTTAGGGATGCAGAAATAAATTCTCTCTTTACAATTTAATTTTGCATGGCATCTGAGTTCATAAAGGGACGTTTCATGTGAAATTTAGCCTTTCTAATTCTTCTCAAATGATTGATTTCCACAGCTTGATGAACTGAAAGAACATGCACTGATTTCCTCTGCCAAACAGAGACTGAGGTGTGCCAGCATTGAAAAATTCGGAACAAGGGCTTTCAAAGCATGGTAAATAATTTTTATTTAGTTTGCACCTTTAGACTGATTAGCAAAATGATGGTTCCACTGACAACATTTTACACTGTAGTACAGTTCATACAGTCCTTTTTTGAAAATCCTTTTGGTTGTCTAAAATGCAGAAATTTAATACAACTGCAAGTTAGACTGTCAGTGACAATTTGTCATCAATATTGTTTTTCCCAAGTAGTCAAAAGATTTAGCGAGTACAGCGAACTTTTGTCTGTCATTAAAAAGAGGCAGTTAGTCAACCATCCATTTTACTAATAATACTGGGTTTCTTATTCTAATTTTTTTGTATTTTTATAGAGTTATAGTCAGTATGTTTTAAAAATTCATTTAAACCAACCCTTGCCCCCTGAAATTATCTGAAAATATCTACCTTTTCCTTTGTGGTCCTACTAATTTAATTCAACCATTGACTAAACTAAAGTTACTTTTCATTACCTCACAGTTTCATTTCTTCTCTTAATTTCTTACCCTTTGCTTTCCAACTCCTTACCTATTCTTGGAGATTTTAAAATATCAGAGCCATGAAATTAGTAACATTCCCAATTTGCCATGTGTTAGTCAACATTGAATCAACCAGAAGTGGAGATAAAATGAAGATTACAGGAGACATCACAGGTTCTCTGGAAATCGTCAATTAAACTTCCTCTGCCTGACATCTCTACCATTAACACCAACACCATTAGCCAAGTCAACAAGTAAACAGTCTGATCATGAAACGATGCTAAGTTACACACGAGGATTGCTTTGGATTTGGGAGTCAGCAGGGGGCATCCCTTTGATCAGAATTTGATGACTTCGCAATGGTTTGGGAACCATGATGATATGTACTTTTTACATCTTGTCATAGAGCTTTGAGAGTCTGCTGGATACATTCCTTGGTGAACGCATATTTAGTTTTTATTTCTTTTAAAAATACTTAATTGAATTACCTTTTCTTACTCCACAATTCTGTGAAATTTATAATATTTCCTTCTTAAAGACTTTTAAGAGGAGCCTGGTGGCATAGTGGTTAAGTGTTGGGCTG